AGGGGTATCCGAAGAGGGGGGAAAGGAGAGGGTATCCAAGAGGGGGGAGGAGGGGGTATCCAAGAGAGGGGGAGGAGGGGGTATTCGAGAGGAGGGAGAGGGAGCATTTCTCGGAAAGTATAACCCGGATGAGGATCTGCTTTCTACCGGGACCAGTTTTTCCCTTTTTTGTGGGCGTTCACATGTGTTGCTTTCCGTCGAGCCGCTTGCGCTCATTCTTGACATTATCAGCGCCGCGGGTCGTGTGAAAAATCGGGGACCATTTCTGGCGGCGCCGCCCCCGGAGCGCCCTTCCTGCTGCAGGAATCGGGTCGGGTCCTGCTCGAAGGAGGCCGCGCTGCCTCCTGCCGGCCCGCGCGCGCCACGCCGCGACCGTTGAACCCGCCGGGCTGCGGGCTCACCCTCGCCTTCCCTCCTCTCCCTCCTTTCTTCCCTCCTTACTTCCTTCCGTTCCCTCCTTCCCGCCTTACTGCCTGCTCCCCCCCCTTCCCTCCCTCATTTCTACAAAGCTCATTCATCTCTGCCCTTACATCTTTGTCTGCGCCCGCGCCCGTGTCGGGGAATTTCGTAACTATGACGGGACACGCACCCCCCCCCCCCCCCATCCTCCCTAAGGGAAGCCTAGGCTCTCATCGTTGCATTTGTGTGTCTGTCTTTGTCTTTGTGTTTGCGAGGGTTTTCGTCATTTATTGCGGCACTCGTAATTGAAATAAATGATATTAAAATATATATATTTATAATCATTTATATTTATATTTTATATTATTTTTATATTTATATTTATATATATGTATTTATATTATATTATTATATTATATTGATGTATATGGTATATGTAAATGTATATGTAATTGTATAATGTATATATGTTGTTATGTATGTATAGTATGGATTACTTAGATATAAATATATATATAATACCTATTATTATATTCACATATTCATCATATATACATTTCTAATCTATATATATATCTATTATACTATATATATATATTTATATAATATATTATATATACTATATAATATATCTTATTCTCATATCTATATCTACTATCTATATATTTATATATAATATCTATATATATGATATATACTATATATCATATATATATATATATAGATATCATATCTTTATAGCTTATAGATATATAATCTATATATATCTCTATATATCTATATCTATCTATTTAGCTCTATATATACTATATAATCATCTCTCTCTTCTCTATATATACCTCCCACTATATCTCCTCTCTCTTCTATACATACTCATATATATATAAGCAACACACGACCAACCCCCTATCTTTTCATCATTATCTCTCTCTCGATAACTATCCATTATATCTATATATCTTCTTCTCACCTCTCTACATCTCTATATCGTATTAATATCTCTATATACTCTCTTCTCATATCTCTATAAATAAACTACCTACCTACTACTATCTTAATATAATCTATCGAGCTCTATATCCTCTATATCAACTATCTATATCTCTCTCTATCCTCTACTCTCTCCTCCTCTCTCTCTCTCAGTAACCCCGACATCTCCTCTATCTTCTCTCTCTGCCTCTCTCTATTCTCCCTCTCTCTCTCTCCTCGCCGCTCTCACTCTCTCCATCCTCCCCCCTTCTCTCTCTCTTCTCAGCTGTGTCACACTCCCCCTATCCCTCCCTCCTCTCTCTCTCTCTCTCTCTCTCTCTCTCTCTCTCTCTCTCTCTCTCTCTCTCTCTCTCTCTCTCTCTCTCTCTCTCTCTCTCTCTCTCTCTCAGTCACCCTCCCCCCCTCCCCCCTCCCTTCCCACCTCCTCACCTCCCTCTCTTCTCTGACTCCGTCCCTCCCTCCCTCTCTCCCCCTTTCTCCCTCCCTCTCTCTCCCTCCCTCTCTCCCCCTCTCTCCCCCCCTCTCTCCCCCTCTCTCTCCTCTGTGTTTCTCCGTTTTGTTTCCATCGCCTGTGTTCCTGAGCCGCCGTACGAGGGAGACCAGCTTGCCTTCCAGCAGAGACACTAATGCAGTATATGCGATGGCGTAGTACGTAATACGTGCAGCATATAATAATGCGTGATATAGCGTGGCCTTCGGCGCTGCCTTACGTAACCGCTCCAGGTGTAGTGGGCGTTCCCTCGCTTCTCGCGGGGGTGGGCGGAGCAAGAGATACGCCCATGTTACGCTGGATTCACTGCCTTCCGCTCTCGGGTCTTCTGCTCAGGGGCCGAGTTGTTTAGGCTTTGCTTCCGATTTTCCTCGGGCCTTCTGGGGGTGACGAAGGGCTGGAATACCGGCGTGCGCAGCGGAAAGGGAGAGGAGAGGGGGAGGGGGAGGGGGGAGGGAAAGGGAAAGGAGAAGGAGAAGAAGGTGAAGGAGAAGGAGAAGGAGAAGGAGAAGGAGAAGGAGAAGGAGAAGAAGAGGGAGAAGAAAAGGGAGAAGGGGAAGGGGAAAGAAGGAGAAAGGGAAAGGGAGGGAGAGGGAGAGGGAGAGGGAGGAGGAGGTCTCCCAGGCGAGCCGAGCCGCGCCGTGAGCGCCGTGAGCGCCACGAGGGAGAGGGCGGAGACTCGAGGGCGGCCTGTCTCCACCCGGATCTCAGTAACCGAGGAGCAGCGGAGTGCGGAGGCGCGGACGGCGGCGCTGCGGATGCGCGCCCCGGGGGAGGCGGGAGGCGAGGGGCGGGGGCGGAGATCCCCTGTGGGAGGCGGGGGAGCTGGGAGGGTTGGAGGAAAGGAGGGGGGGCAGGGGGACATGGAATTTTGGCGAGGTGGGAAGGAAGAAACAAAATAAAAGAGAAATGAAATATTAGCGACAAGGCGCTGGAGGGGCGAGGGAAGGGCGCTGGGGTCGCCCGAGGAAAAGGTGCGGAGGGGGGGGGGGCGGAGGGGGGGGGCAAGGGAAGGGGCTGGGGAAGGGGGAGGCAGTTCGGCGGGTACGTTGAACGGGGTATGGGGAGGAGAGGGGCGGGGGGCGAGGGGGAGGTATGAGTTGGGCAGAGTAAAGGGAAGGCCGCGGAGAATTCTCAGAGGTTGTAGTTGGAGGAGGAGCCCGGGGGCCGAGAGGCAAGGGGGGGGGCTGGGGGCAGTGGGCAGGGGCAAGGTGGCCGCAGGGCATGACAGGGAATGAGGTGTAAGGTGAGTCACGGCGCTGTGTAACGCTCAAGGTTATGCATACATTAAGATACCCACGGGCGCGCGCGTGCACGCACACTAACAAGCTTTAGCTTACCCGCAGACACGCGCTCAGTCCAACGCGCATGCAGTACACATGCACGGTGGCTCACGTTTTTATGGGATTTAGCCATTGAGTGCAGCCGGAGAGCGCAGGTGTTAATGGCTGCGCGGTTGCACCTTCGGGGGCGCTTCCCTTTGAGCGAGGGAGAGGGAAGCAGAGAGAAAAGAATAAGCGCGCGTTTACGAGCCGAGCCTTCCCTCGTATATCAAAGACCTGCCCGGCCCGTGGAGAGCGCTGCCTCCGTGAAGCGCCTTCGTGGAAGCGGTCGTGCGGGTAGTGCCTTCGTCGTCGTCGGAGGCCGTCGTCGGAGCGGGAAGGAAGCCGCCGTGCACATGGGCGAGCGCCTCGTCTGTGCGGGGGAAGCGAACGCGTGTGGGGGATTGGGGTCACTTAGGGATGGGAGTCTTTGGAGAGAGAGCAGCGATTACTCTGTATCTCGGGAGAGGGATAGAGAGAGAGAGAGAGAGGGAGAGAGAGAGAGAGAGAGAGAGAGAGAGAGAGAGGAGAGAGAGAGGAGAGGAGAGAGAGAGGAGAGAGAGAGAGAGAGAGAGAGAGAGAGAGAGAGAGAGAGAGAGAGAGAGAGAGAGAGAGAGAGAGAGAGAGAGAGAGAGAGAGAGAGGAGAGAGAGGAGAGAGAGGGAGAGAGAGGGAGAGAGAGAGAGAGAGAGAGAGAGAGAGAGAGAGAGAGAGAGAGAGAGAGAGAGAGAGGTGGGGGGGGGATTCAGATTCAGAACGTTTATTTAGTCCCATAATTACATGTTGGTTATAATCTGCACACACACACACACACACACACACACACACACACACACACACACACACACACACACACACACACACACACACACACACACACACACACACACACACAGGCAGACAGACAAATAGGATAGGACAGGCAGGTAGGCAGACAGACAGACAGACAGACAGACAGACAGACAGACAGACAGACAGACAGACAGACAGACAGACAGACAGACAGAAAGACAGACAGACACAGACAAGACAGGCAGGGAGGCAGGCAGGCAGACAGGCAGGTAGGACAGAGGTCCTGTGACTGTTGTTTTCCAAGGTCTGTGAACACCAGATTCCCCGTGCGTGAGTTTTAGCTTCCCCTCTGACGCTGCGTCGCTTTTCCCGCAGGTGAGTGCAGGTGCGGGAGGAGGACGTGTCTGCGGCCGTGGTAGGTGCAGTCAGGGCCTCCGTCGGGCCTTGGAGAGGGCCTCGGAGAGCTCGGCCCCTTGGAGTACAACGCCCGGCGCCGCGGGGCCTTGAGTGCGCGTTCATTTCCTGAGGACTGCAAGCAGTGCTTGCTGTTTGGGGCTTTAGGGTCAGCCGCGATCTGGTGGCGAGGCCCTGGGTGCAGCGGGTCGGTCTCTCTCCCTCTTGGACGGAGGAGAGGGACACATTCTTCGATGGCAAAGCAGGGGATTATTTGTTTCGATAATTGCCGAGCGTATTTCCGGCATGGCTCCCGCTTGCCATGAATGCGTGAACGCTGCTCGGGGAGAGTGGTTGCGGGCCAGTCGCCGGGGCGCTGAGGGAACGGCGGGAGGAAGAGGGAGCTAGGGGGTAGGGGAGGGGAGAGGGAGGCTGGAGGACGAAAAAACGGGCAGGAAGAACTCACGAGAAGGGAGAGCGAAGTGAGCTGCGCGAAGGGCGGGGCGAGATTTCCTGCGGATCCGCGCGGCATTTCCCTCGGCGGATCCTCCTCCGAGGCGATCGAGGGCCGCCTCCACGCTCGGCGAGAGAGGAAGGCGCCCTTGCACGGAAAGT